TACTCCCCTGTTTTAAATCATCATGACCCAGAAGCCTTGCTGTGTCTTCCTAGGAACCCAGCGTCTGACCCTTCCCTCCCACCACCTCGCCCCCCTGTTTCCTCTCCTCACCATGGCTATTCTGGACTCATTTGAGCTCCTTGAACAAGTCCTGCGCTTTGTTCTTTCAGGGTCAGCACATACTGTCCGTCAACTTGAAACACTCTCAACTGCCTCAATCCCTTCTTTTCATCTCTACCTTCGGCCTTTCCTCACTTTGAACATTTTTGGCCATTTTTTCTTCTTTTTTATCTCTTTCTATCTTCCAAGGAAACTTCAGTGTCAGCCATAGCTTACTCTGATTTGACCATCACTTAAATACATTCCCATAAGCTCTCTATACTCTCGTGACTGTTGGTGATTGCTGCTTCCTCTATGAAATATTGAACCTGGAAATCCCACAGTGTCCACAGCCTGCTGCCACTAGTTCCATCCCCTGTTTGTTATAAATCTATACTTTCACCTTGTTATGATCACAGTCTTTTCTACCCACTTGTGATCTTCAAGTCTGTGAACATTTTCCTTGCGGCTCTTCATCCATTTCTCATTCCTTGGGGAATCAACCACATTCGCTCTTCAAACCTCGGCCCTAGAGCAACCAAACCTTTCCTTTTCACTTGATCACTAAGCACTGCGGGAGGAAAGCCCATAATCACACCAGCAGTGTCCCAACCACTCTCAGTGATTCTCTCTTGCCTCATAGCTGCATTACCAACGCTTTACCCCTTCACCTAAGTGTCCAAGTCCATTCTAGGCTAATATCACAAAATCTAAAGGTCTAAAGAGAAGACACATTATCAATCCAAAACTCCTTCAGCTTCCTTCTCCTCTACCTTTAAGTGACCCTATAACTTCTTCCACCGTAAAATAATGCATTTAACTTCATCTATAAGAACTTAGTCTTTCTTATCTCAAAAAAGTACCCCTCTTCCTACCCAAGGCTATGTTACATGATCTCAAAAGCAGATTTTCACGTGTTCTTTGGTTATACAAACTTTACAAGTATAACGTGTATGTATATGTGTTTATAGTACGATATTTATAAGGAAAAATTGAAGATGGATTTGCTCTAAACAACACAAGTAAAAAGATCTATAATTGTGATATCTATTGAGAACCACTATTAATATATTGGTAGACAGACTTACAAAATTTTTCTATGCATATTTATTATAAAGTGAGATCAAAATTTGAATCCTATATTGCATCATACTTTTTTTACCTAAAACGTAAGATCTCTTAATCTCATAATACCATTGTATTCCTTGGGATGGCTATAGCACATGTATTTAACCAGTATCTATGGAAGGACTCAAAGAATCTGGATTCTAGGCCCTACTCTCATTCCTCATTCCTCAAAATTTTGCTTGTCATGTACTCTCCTTCCCTTCTGTACCTTCAATGTCCCTTTCCAGGGGCTTCTTCTCTTTAGCCCACAGGCATGCTGGAGTCCCCACCCTGCACTCCTCTAAAATCTTTTCTGTACTCCTTCTCATCAGATACTACCATGAATCTCCCCTAAGAAGAAATTCTTCCACATAAATAGTAATCTACCTTTACTGTATCACCCTTTAACTTCTCATGAGTTCTTTGGCCCACTGTAATCTTTCTCCTTCCATCTGTTTGTTGAAGCTGCTCCTTGCCCACAATCTAAAATACTTTCCTACAAACTATTACCAATTCCCAAGCACAGATCTCCTGGTGGCTCTTCTATTCAGTAGCTTCCAGAAAATTATAATTTAATAAAACAAAGGGGGGCATCCTAAGTACAACTCCTAGAAGTTGTAATTAAATTAAATGAAAACAGTCATTTATTATTCCTAGACTGAGAACTTTATTAAAATATACATGGATTATTAGATAACTTGTAAAAAGAAAGAAAGAAAGAAAGAAAGAAACTTTTGAAGGGGAAAATCTTTGTGTAGGTAATTGCAAGCTACAGTAGTTAGAAATGTCTACATTATACTTACATCTTTATGCCCTAATAATAGGCCTTGGGCCATTCATCTTTTGATAATGCAGTATGTTACAGAAGGTAGATGTGAGAAAGAGTGTGAATGATTTTCATTAAGTAATGTCTATGAGAAAGATATCTTTTTATCCTCTGTGCCATTCCAGATTTACTGCCTAAAACAGAATATCTCCCAGGATAATTTTTGCCTACCAATGGACCTTTCTATAAAGTGACACTTTTCTCCTAGCATATAGCTTAAAGAGTTCTTTATTTTAATTTGCTATTATCTATTTTAACCTTCTAATAACTTTATTCTATCTACTTATATTGTTCATCATTCTATTATATTCATTGGCCAATGATTGAGCTATGCACTAGTAAATTTCAATCTATATGCATACCAGAAGGTTACAGATTGGCGGCTGAGGTATAATTATATATTTGACAACAACATATATGTTATTTTGTAGCATAAATAAAAGTAAACAAATGTGTTTGCTGGAGCAGCTGTGCAGATGATAGACTTGTAGATAGACTTGTATATTGATGGTTCTTGGCAGGGAGTGAAAGGAGAACGTAGATACTCCTGGGGTGAGGGGAGTATGTGGGAATCTCAGGGTTGGTAAGATGGTATATACAATTGCAGCATCTATCAAAATGGAAATGGGTGTTAAGAACTTAAAAGACATTGTTTCAGCTTCCCTTTATGTAGCTTTTATTCACCTAACAATTTTCAGTAGTGCCTACCTAACCATCCCTTCCCCCACATTCAGAATTTCTAGCTAAATTATCTTTATCAACAGAAATAACATGTAATAAAAGTGTGGGTTTAAATTCATCAATAAGTATTTGTTAAGTGAGTAAGTAAGACTGTCAGTGAAAGAATATATATTGTCAGACGTGCATCCCCCCTTATTATCTTCATGCTTATAAGGAAAGGACCCTTCTAGCAGTGCTGTGTCAAATTATTGGAAATTAATTAACTGGTTGATCATCACCCATGTGCCAGCATGTGTGCTCAGCACTCCGCAACTACATGTGTCATTTGCTTTCATCTTTATAGCAATTACTGTGAAATATGTATTACCCTCATTTTAGAGATGAGGAAACAGACTCAATGTTAAGAAATTTGCCCCGTGTCAAACAGCCAGCAAGAGCAGAGCTGGTACTCAAACCCTGGTCTGAATGACCTGAGTCCGTGCTCTTCCATTCGGAATTTTAAAAAAAAAATATTTTCATGATACTGATAGGAGTGGTTTAAACTTTCTTCAAAAGTCCAGAATAGTGGCTCACTATTACTATCATTTTTCTAATTTTCCTACCATCAAAAATTTTTTTTTCACCCAGAAGAGACCATGCGATAGAATGGAAAGAAAATGGTATTTGGAGCCTAACTAATCTGGTTTGAATCTGAAATCCACTGTTGACTTGCTTTCTGTCTTCTGATAAGTTACTTCACTCTTCTCAGCCTCAGAGTTTTTCATTTATTTGTCATTTGTTTTTGTTTTTTAATATATGAAATAGGAGAAAATACTCTCTACTGGATTGGGGATTATGAGATACCTTGCTCATAGGATAAGTATGAAATAAATGTTAGTTCCCTTAAGGATATTTTTAGTATTTTACTAAGGACTTTATAATAAAAAATTCTCCCTCTTAAGTAGTTTGAATTATTGAACAAGTTTACTATTACTAATGAGTAATTAACAATTTTCTTATTAAAAACAAGTCATTTTCTTGAACATTTCCAATGGTGATCATACTGTGATTAAAATTTCATATACTTTTTTCCCTTCTCACATATATATAATGAACATTTTTGATTGTCATTAATGAACATCACAATTTTAATGGCTCCAAATAGTCCTGCATTCATGTAGAAGTACCACTGTATTTTCAATCATTTTCCTTTGTTTGGATGTTTGTTTAAAGTTGTGACTTGTTTTGTGTTTTTTTTTAACATTAGAAACACAATACTATGACAAAATTTTGAACACAGATCTTTGCACACATCTCTGATTATTTATTTAGGATAAATTCCTAGAATTGGATTACCAGATTAAACAGTATTTGAAAGCCAGAACTTCTAAAAAAAAACCCAGAGAAATTCCTTGTATATAGAACATTCTATAAATATGTGTGATTATGATATCACCTTATCTTCCCCTTTTCTTGTAACCTCATTTTGAGGATAATTTTCATTTGGAGAAAAAACTTTTCATGAAAGAGAAGCTTTTCTGAGGATATTGTACTTATATTTGCAACCATCAACTAAACACTGAAGTGTCCTTCCTTTTTGCTGATTCCTTTTCTGAGAGGAGATGGGGTTTGTGAGATGGAAGAGGAAATGGCGTTTGGCTTGTGCTCTTGGGGGAGTATCAGCAATTGTGGAGGATTGGGAACACGGAGAAAGAATGATCCATGCCAGCCACATTCATCAACCACAGAATATGCCCAAATGCAAAGGAACAGCAGCCCACCCAGAGCTTTTTCCAGGGGCTGCCCTCCCCAGCACGGCACCTTGCAGTTCCCATTGGCTGGGTCAAGTATCAACACTCAGTTAATTAGTCACAATTTTCAGAATCTAAGGGTGTCAGCCAGGGGTCTGCCTGTTCACACAGAGAGATTGCTGCTCAGAGGAGAGAGGTTCTGGGGTCTTCCCCTGCAGCTGGCTGGCTCTGGGATGACTGTCAGGGGCCTGGACTGATGGGTCATGAAGAACAGCAGGCACTAATTTCACTGCCACTTTGTATCTGGTCCTCTCTCTACTGAATGCTGCTGGCTGGTAGCAGAGGCCTGCAAGCGAAGGCTGGGAGAGAACAGTAAGGAGAAATGGGAAAGCACTTTAAATATTTCATTTACTTAGCTGGATTCAGATGAACCGCTTCCAGAGAACTATGGTGACTAGCCCCGCCCAGCTCATAGATCTGTTTTAATTGAAACACAAAAGCTTAGGAAATCTTGGGGACCAGAAACACAGGCCCAGGTATACTCTGTCTCTTCCTACCTCTTTTCATTGTGATCCTGATCCATTCATTCTTCTCTTCAATGTGGATCTGAGGGCAGGGGAATGTATGTCAGTAAATGTCAGCGCCACCATGTTCTTCACAGTAGAGTCAATTCTAAAAAGAGTGGTTAAATGTTGTGAGGTGATCAAAGCTATTACTCTAAAGGTCTAATGATTCACAGAATAAGTTTTAAAAAGGCAGCGGTGGTCTACTTCCCCCTCTAACAGTTCCTAAAGCATAACTTTTTCTCTGTTAATAAGAGCAATTTTCCTATAAATCTAGCCAGAAATCCCAAAGAATCCTCTAAAGTCTTCCAGTTTAACCTCTCAATAGATGCTTGAGTCCCTTTTGTCCAGCAACTTGCCAGCTGCACATTGAGTTAAGGGTCCTCCCTCCATTCCAAAGCCTCCTATTCCCAATTTGGACTCCTCTGTATTTGTCCTTCTGCTAAGCCACAATTGAATACCTAGGCTTTTCACTTTTATTCTTGTAGCCACAAAACAAAATAGCTTCTACTTCTCTATTACATTCCTTAATAAGCTGTCGACTTTTATTGTGTCCTGAATCTTCTCTTTAGACCTTTAACTATTCTCAGTAAATTTGTCTGTTCATTCATTCATCAATTATTTATTGAACAATAATAATTCCAGACAAGGCACCAAGAAACAAAGATGAATACTACACAATTCCTGCCATCTACAAGCTCAGTTTGAAGGATAGACATAAATATATAACTGCAGAATAACACGATCCATGTCATAGAAAAGCATAGAAATCTACAAAAATGCAAAATAGGAGTCACCTTTCCAGAATAGTAGAATTGGGTGATCATTGAATATTTCCTAGAGCAGATACCATCTGAGCCCTATCTTAGATAATGAGAAGAACTGGACTGGCCAAAGGGGAGTTGGGAAGTTTCTGGTAAAAATACTATGAATAAAGGCCAAGAGACAAATTATAGTGTGGATCATGCAAGAAAGAGCCAGCAGTTCAGTTCAGTGTTCCCAGGGGTAAATATAAAGCTAGAAAATAGAGAGAGCAGATTATGAGCTATATTATAAATATCTTTCTCAGTTGACAATGTTTTGAGGGCCCTCCCAAACATATTGATTTTGTCAAGAAAGCGTTTAGTATCTCTTAATCTCTGTTTGCCTCTTTCCCTATCCCCATTAATCAAGAAATTATTATCCCAAGATATATCATCTCTAGGAAAATCAGTGAACTCCAATTGATGGTTTTGGATCTAGACCCAAACTACATTGAAGATATTCATATTACCATCCTTCCCTTCCAAAACCCCTGTATCTTAAAGAAACTGCCTGAATGCCACCTTGGTGGCTGTATACATAATATTGAAACTGGTTTACAGTGAAAATATAGTGATCATTAGATACCAGACTGTGATTGCCTTTCCCACTCTGCCCTGAATTCCATGAAGGCAGAAATGATTCCATCTCATACAATATTGATACAGTCATCTGGTATCAATAGATACTTAAAACTGAAAGTGGATTCACATACACTCTGCTCTGAAGAACCTCAAGGTAAAGACTCATCCGATTCTCCATCTTGCTGTCTTTGTTCCAGCCCGATAGTCTGTTTCTTGTACCTGGCATACCCTTTCTCACCTCAGGGATGTTATCTATGTTCCTTCCTCTCCTGGAGCAATCTACGTAAAAGTAACTAACTGCTGTTCATCTTCAGGAAAAGTCCTTATGTTTAGTTCTCCTGTTAGCCTTTCCTATACACTGCACTTCCCCTTCATATGTCTCATAAACTGACATAGTCACTTCTGTAGCTTCCAGGCTTAACCCAGTGCCAAGCACAAAGCTGGTGTTTAATAAATATTAAATACATTTCATGGTTACATGACTGCTACTAAGTAATGTCACTGTTCAATAAACATTGGAATTTTTCGAAGAACAAGCAGAATTAGAGAGATGTGAGATGTCAGAAGTATAAAAGATATGGGATCTTAGTCGCCGTAGTTGAATTATTCATGTCAGCCTTTCAACACAAATGTACAATTGTGAAAAGAAGCCTTTGGAATTTTTATTAAATCACCCAATAAAAATTGCTAAACATTACCGTGACGTTTGCAGTGGTGTAACTGTCAAGTTATAGCTGATCTTATTTTGACATTGAACTTTTCTGACTAATTGAGTGCCCTAATTAATTTTTCTGGATTAACGACTAAATTCTTAGTCTTCATCTCTTTTTACCCAAGAGCAGAACTTAATCAAGTGATTGTAAATTTAGTAAGTTTATTTGTTGTAAGAGTATATGGAGAAATTAAATATCCGGTGACAGGGGACAAGGTTAAAGAAATGATAGTACATGACCTTGACGAAATATTAGTTATTTAAAATGGATAATTATAAAGACTACCCAGCTATATGGAAACAGCTTAAAATATAGTTTGAATTAGAAAAAAAAAATAGAACACAGTATGGAAAGATAATGTAGTCATGGAGGTAGAGAGTAAAAGAATATGTAAATAAATATGTTAATGAAGATGGTTTGTGAATTTGGGGGAGACTTTTAATTATGTCTTATTACAGATTTCAGAAGGTTATAGTTCATTGGATGTCAATTACTATAACCTGCAGGAGTATGTTTGAAGCTTATTAGAATATAAACTATTAAAATTTACATGCTGCAGTAGTAATGTATTACCTGTCTATATCCATGCACATTAAAACCTGTTTATTACTGAAAAGAAGCTCACATTTATTATGACTCTAGAAGGAGGCCCTGCCTCTGAAGTCAAAGTTACTTGTCACATAGGAATACATTAATTTGATGGACAAACAATATTAGAGTGCTACCAGAAATAACAAGATGGAAACACCCAAATTTCACTACTCTACCAAGTCAAAATATTTTCACATAACTGATTTCCTTTCATTTTTTTTCCATATGTATATATAATTTTGACAGCTAATACTATTTTCTTTGGCATTTTTGCATATTACACAATGTGTAGGCTTTTATTTCCTACTTCATAATTATCATTTTAATTGCTGTAAAAGGAAGCATTTCTCCAAAGCAAAAGTGTAAGACAGTTTGAATAAGCAAACATGCAAGGCTCTTTGAGTTCTTGCAGTACAGGGACAAGCTTAAGTGTTTTTCCTGACCTTCCTTTGTCTGCTGACAGTGCACTTTATAGCTCTGCATACAAGACTGTTAATCACCTGATTTCCATTTAGTAGTAAATTAATAATACAGAGTGAAAGGGGAACTAGGTTTAGCCATATTATTTAATGTCTACTTATTGTTTCTACAGGGGAATTCTGGCCTGGGCTTCAGTATTGCTGGAGGGACAGATAATCCCCATATTGGAGATGACCCTGGAATATTTATTACGAAGATTATACCAGGAGGTGCTGCTGCAGAGGATGGCAGACTCAGGTAAAGATCTGAAACATTTGAATTATTTGGAAAGTAAATCTTGCCCATCAATGAGATGTTGGGGGAGAATTGACAAAGAATTGAAGGGCAGGGACACAGTAGTGAAGTAGAGTAATAATTTTATTTTAAGTTACTTAAAGGGAGAAAAAAGTAGAGGCCACCTCAGCAAGGAGAAGCACCCTGAAAGGTTGGAGAGAGAAAGTTTAAGATTAAAAGGTTATGCACTTAGAAAGTGCGGGCAACCTCAGAGAGGAGTGGTCCAAAAGTTTGGGGGTTCCCCCTTTTAAGGTTTCTTTAGAAATGTGACTAAGGGGTGCAGACTTGTTAAGTGGTCTCTGAATATTTTAAATTAACTTAGCACAAGGAAATTCCTGCTCTGATTCTCCCTGGGATAACTGTGTCTTGGTCTGGGAGCATATCAAACAAGACTACTGCCTGCCCAGCCCTTAAGGTGGACTGAGTTATTGTCTGTGTGCTAAAGAATAAGTTAAGAATCTTACTTCTCAACTTCCTGGGTATTAAAATGAAATCTTATTTGTAAGATGGAATCCTTCCTGCCTTTTACTATGTTGTTTACGGCTGAACTTGCTTGCCATTATTAATTGCCCAGATTGCAAACTGCTTGATTAGGGCCAAAGGAGAAAAAAACAGTATGTAGGAGAAGTTAAAAAATATAAAACAGTATGTAGGTAAAGTTAAAAAATAAGCTGGGCTTGCATGATTAACACAATAAAGATATGGGCTGTGCTTTATCTGGGGAATATTCAAACATCCCAGGCCAAGTTGTTCCTGGCTTTTTGAGCTTTAACTGATTAACTTTTTTTTTTTTTAGTGGGCTTTTTCCTGGTCTTACTCTCTTTCCACCCCACTCATATCTATTTTCCTGCCTAACAGAGACACATATATACCTTTGGAGAACAACAATACCACAGAATTCTGTACTTGAAAGAGGAGGCTGTCAGAGCAATCTTCCTGTGATGACTTTGCAGATCTCTTACTTAATTTCAATTAATATTCAATTTGTGCTTGTTGACGGCTACCACGTTTAACACTGGACTAGGCACTATGAGGAGGGGATGCGATAGAACTTTTGTTCCCTGGAGCCTTCAGTCTGGTTGGAAAGAAGAATACTATGAGCTGATGAGCAAATATTAAAATGTATAGAAATATGCTCTAAGTAGTATTAGCAAATAATGCAGTATTGTAGACACTGTGTTTGGTAGACTCACCAGCCATTAATAAGGGCTTTCTGTAAGAGTTTGGACAGAGTATAGAAAACTCTTCCATAGGAAGATTCCATTCTAGGTCTTAAAAAATAGTTCAGGTCATTAACCCCACAAATCTGCACAAGAACAGAAGAACAAAGAGCAAATTGTCCCAACAAAAAGGGAAACTACAAAGTGAGGTTCAGTCAAGGAGACGGAGTGGGGCCAGATACCACTCAGGAGAGAGTAGCTGCTTGAGTCAAGGCCCCTTTTTTTAAAGAATTAAAAATTATTTGGGTAAATAAGAGTCACCCATTTGGGGAAATTAGTAAATAATATAGAATTCTATCCAAGATCAAAATACTAGCTAAAAGGTATTGTGGATTGGAACAATCAGGAGAGATTTCCCTTGGGAGAAATACATCCTAACATTATTTTAGCATCTCTATTAGATTGTAAATCCCCTCAGGCCAAGCTGTTACATAGAGAAGTGACTTAATAAATTCTTGCTGAATGAATGAGTTTGAAATGAATGAATTAGTAAAATGAGAAGAGGAAGAAGGGTAAATTAATGAGTAGGGAGGTGGAGTAGCACAAGCAAAGTCCTCCTGGTAAGAATGATTTCAGCTTGCGTGGAGCCATGAGGACTGTGACCTAGGTAGTAGAAACGCTGCGTAGCCTTTCTTCAGTCTGTTATTTCATTAAGCACCAATAAATACCCTAGTTTACTGTTTCTCTTACAAAGCAGAGAAAGACACTTTTGTTCCCTATCCAATTGTTCTGCACAGTGATTGCTTTGAACAGCTGCATCTTTGCAGCTTGTGGAGGAGAAGCACAATTTATTTTCAGGTGCATCTGCATCTCCTATCAACAGTAAGAGAAATGAGGGACAGTCCCTCGGGAAATAACATGCCTTTTGACAATAGAATTTTCAAGCTGAGTTGATCAAGTTAATTTCTGAATGAGGAAAGACCCATGCTACAAAGTGAACAATTTGAAATAGATAACTGCATAATTCTACAAGTTATATTAGAGACTGGGTTTGCTAATATTGGATGCTGAAGAAGCTCTATTTTAAAAGTTTAGAAATAGAGTGAAAAGATAATTCAGAAATTGGTGGGCCACAATCACTATTTCATACCATTCTACCTAGAAGTAGGAGAACTTCCATCTTTTTGCCAAATTCCAGCTCTAAGCTGGAGATAGAATAGCTTTTATGTTACATGCTCACCTACCCTACAATTAAGAATGAAAAGTGGCATCTCTCAGAGTGCCACCATTCTTTGCCTGCAAGCATAGGTGGTAACCCCATGCCTAAGGAAATTAAAGGAAGTTCTGCTGTTCTTGAAGCATCATTCAATAATAAACAGCATAGTCATAATGATAACTAACATCTATTGAGCTTTTATCATGTGTGGGCCATTGTGCTAATACAGATAGATGGATGAATGGATAGATGATAGATAGATAGATAGATAGATAGATAGATAGATAGATAGATAGATAGATAGATAGATAGATAGATAGATATACAGAGATGTAAACAGACATATAGATAAACACAAACACACCACCTTCTAAATACTTAAAACAGTCATATGAGGCAGGTATTATTGTTATGACCATAATAATATGAACTCAGGAAATTTAAGCTTAAAGACTTTAAGATTACCTCGCTAGCTTTAAATACATTCAAAAACTAGTCCTTACCACCACATATGTACTCTCTGAACTCTCATTCAATGGTAGAATCTCCTATATCTGTATCATTGGAACAACCTTTATAAATATTTCAACTGCTGTTTATCACACACACACACACACACACACACACACACACACACTATTCAAATTGTTAGGGGTTTAGGTTATGTTCAGTTTCTCAGCATTTTAAATACCTGGCAATCTTTTGGAAGACATTGTTGACTTTGTTCCTCATAACATCCCTAGGGTATATTTCTAGGAGTAGAATTTCTAGAACAAAAGTACGAGCATTTTAAAGAATTTTGATACATATGGTTAAATTTCTTTCCAGAAAGATTTTACTAAATTTTACCTCCATTAACAATATTGGAAAGGGCCACATTTATGATATGTCATCAGCATTTTATGTACTTTACACACATATAATTTGGGCCTATTTACCATAGCAAACAGTGACACATGTCCTTGCTTTACTTTGCATCCACTTGATTAACAATCAGGTTGAACTTAAAAATAAAATGTTATTACTCATTTATATTTTCTCTCCAGAAGTAGTCATTTAAATTTGATAGCATGACCTATCTTTAAAGTAAGAGCATTTTGAAAAGAACACTAGGTTTTTCTTCCAGGACAGAATAGATACATTTCCATGTTTTAAAGAATGATTTTTATTTCTACTTTGGTATCTGAACTATAAAAATGCCCTTTGTGTAGCTTCAAGTCCCTGAATTGCTGAGGACCAATATTGATCTGTCATCCTGGGGAAGAGCTATCACATGATAGGCTCCGCTTGGCTTGGCCATACAGCAATGACATTTTACAGAACAGTGCATTTATTAAGTCCATCCACAGCGTAAAAGCAGCATGTCCTAGCAGGCCAAAAAAATGGTTGCCTACCAACTTCTTGACAAGTGACATAATTTAATCTCTTAGCCCTCAGCACAATCATTTCTACTCGCTGGCAAGATGAAAAATAAACAAGTTTCCTTAATTCCATTACTTCATTTGTTCCTTATTTGTTTACAGGTAAGGTTGACTTTGCCCTTCCTTATATAAGCCAACATGATATACATGTTGATTTCAAATAAGAATAATATTGATCACAGTGAGGTTTGATTTTACTGACCAAAGTTGAGAGGTCAAGGACAAATGTTTGAAGTACACAACCCCTATGTATAAAGGACAGCGCTGTGTCATTTTGACTGTCATTTGGCAATTCACTCTGTGGTTTTTTCATTAATTTATATTCATTAACTCACTAGTGATTTTCAAATTAGCACATAAGGAGAAAGAGAGAAAGGAATGGGAAGAAAAGTAGCAACGGGAAGGAAAAGAAAGAAAGAATGGTGAATATCAAGAGCTGAAGCATCATATGACCATGAAATGACAAGGCTTAAGCTTAAAATTTTTCTGCATAAATGAGAAACACCTGACAGAGGAAAGGGAGCAACTTCCAAGCATCACAGTCTGAAACATGCCCAAGACCCACTTTCAGATTGTTTAAGGAAATGAAAGATTTCCAGTAACTGATACAAAAGTAAAAGATTGCTAGTCTTAAGGTACCTCACATCAAACTTTTCACGAGTTGAGAGAACTGCAAATTAAAGCTTCATGAGTCACCAAATCCCACCTGTCAGTTTTGGCTATAACCCAACTTATTATTTCACCAAATGACTATGATGCCATATTTTCCATTCAAAGACAGAGACTCTCAGCATCTTCAAACCCAGGTCAACATTTTTTTTATCTTTATTTTTAGGTTACAGCAGTATATAAGCCCAACTGTTGCTCTGAACAAATCTTCAGGGAAAGGGGGTCTTCATTACCCAGGGCAAATGACACCAGCATCCTCTGTAGAAAGGTGTCTGCTTGGGATCTCAGACTTTTATGTATTATTTTCCTCTATCTCTGCCCACAAGAATGAAGAGAGATGAGAGGGACCAGCCCTCCATCCTTTGATTTCTTCTATCAATACTGTTAGTTCTAAATGTGTTGGTAACTTAGCCAGAGGTTCTATAGTGACTGGTAATGACAAGTCTCCAATATTGGAACTATACAGGAAAATTTCTAAACAAGAATAAGTTCAGCCACACATCTGGTAAAATACCAGGCATCCACATACAGTCTTTCAAAGCTAGAAAAGCATCTCCAACAGTTTTCCTATTTTGGTCAACTATTATACAATCTAATAAGAAAAATCTTTCTATGGGTTAAAGGAAATACCTTATGGCAAGCATGCAATCCCCACACTTTTTTTTAACAAGTTGTGGCAAGACTTCTGGATATCCATGTACAAAAGAATTAAGGCGGGCCCCTACCTCTTATCATGCAGAAAAATTAACTCTGTGTGGATCATAGACCTAAATGTAAAAACTGAAAGTATAAAACTCTAAGAAGAAAACATAGGATTAAATCTTCATGACCTTGGATTAGGCAGTTAGTGGTTTCTTAATATACCAATGAAAGCAACAAAAGAAAAAGATAAATTGGACTCCATCAAGATTAAAAATGTTTGTGCTTTAATGGGCACTATCAAAAAGTTAAAAAACAACCAAGAGAGTGCAAGAAAATATTTGCAGTAATATATCTGATGAGGAATTTGTATCCACAATATATAAAGAACTTCTGCAATTCAATAATAAAAAGACACCCTAATTTAAAAATAGGCAAAGGATTTTTGTACTGGTTTCCTATTCCTGCTATAACACATCACTATAAACTTAGGGACTTAAAATTACACAAATGTATTACCTTATTGTTCTTGATGTCAGAAATCCAAAATCAGACTCACTGAAATAAACTCAAGATGTTGACAGGGCAGCTCCAGAGGATCTATGGAAGAATCCATTTCCCTGCCTTTCCCAGCTTTTGGAGGCCACCTGAATTCCTTGGCTCTTAACTCCTTCTTCTATCGTCAAAGAACATCTGCCCAACCTTTGCATCTGTAATCCTATCTCTTCTCTAATAATAACTCTACTGTCTCCTTCTAATAAGGCCTCCTCTGATTACATTTGAATTGCCTAGATAATCTAGGATAACCTCCCTAACTCCAGATCCTTAACTTAACCACTTCTGTAAAGTCTCTTTCGTCTACAACATATTCATAGGTCAGAGGGTAGGACTTGGTCCTGAGGTATGGGGCATTATTCAGCCAAACACAAATTTGAGTAGATATTTTTAATTGATATATAGTTGATATGCAATATTATATTGGCTTCAAGACTACAAAACAGTGGTTCAACAGTTACACATATTATTAAATCTTCACCCCAACTAGTACAATTATTGTCAACATAGAAAGATGTTACAGAGCCATTGGCTAAATTCTCCATGCTGAATTGAGTTTTTTGTGCCCCTTTATCTCCTTCACACTCCACACCCATCTACCCCAACCCCGTGGTAACCACCAATCACTTCTCAGTGTCTGTACGGCTGTTTGGTTCATTTTGTTTTGTTTTGTTTTTTTATTCCACAAATAAGTGAAATCATATGGTATTTGTCTTTCTCTGCCTATTTCACTTAGCATAATGCCATCTAGGTCCATCCAAGTTGTTGCAAATGGCAGGTTTCTTTCTTTTTTACAAGTGAATAATATTCCATTGTATATGTGTACCATATCTTCTTTATTCATCAAACTGAAAGGCTTCCGTACAACTTAAGACACTATCAACAGAACAAAAAGGCAACCTACTGTATGGGAGAATATATTCATAAATTATTTATCTGATAAGAGGTAAACATCCAAAATATGTAAAGAGTTCATATGCTTCAACACCAGAAAAACAAATAAGGCAATAAAAAACTGGCAAAGACCCTGTACAGATGTCTATCCAAAGATGAATACATATGGCCAATAGGCACATGAAAAGATGCTCCACATCACTAATAAGGGAAATGCAAACCAAAACCATAATGAGATATCACCTCACTCCAGTTAGAATGGCAATTATCCAAAAGACAAGAAATAACAAGTGTTGACAGGATATGAAGAAAAGGAAACCCTCCTACAGTGTTGGTGATGTTGGTGGGAATGTAATTTTGTGCAGCCACCATGGTTCCTCAAAAAACTTAAAATAGAAATACCATATGACCCATGATTGCAATCCTAGGAATTTGCCTAAAGGAAACAAAATCCCCGATTTGAAAAGATATATGCATCCTTATGTTTATTGCCACATTATTTACAATAGCCAAGATATGGAAGCAACCAAAGTGTCTGTCCGTAGATAAATAAATAGATATTTATTTGAAGAAGGTTCGTAAAATGGCTAGTAAGATATTAAAGATATCTTTATAAGATATCTTTATTAAGACATAAAAAGATATTCAACATTATTATTCATTAGGGAACTGCAAATCAAAACTATAGAGTGATACTATTTCACATGCAATAGGTTGGCTATACTAAAAAAATAGGTAATAATAAATGTTAACCAAGGTGTGAAGAAATCAGAACTCTCCTGTACTGCTGGTAAGAAGGTAAAATGGTATAGCTATTTTGGAAAACAGTCTGGCAGTTACTCAAAAGTTAAAAGAGTTACCACATGTATGGCAATTCTACTCTTAGGTATATACCCACAGAAAATTGAAAACATATGTGCACACAAAAAATTTGTACATGAATGTTCATAGCAACATTATTTATAATAGCCATAAAGTAGAAACAACCCAAATGCTCATTAACAGATGAATGGATAAATGGTAGTACATTCATGTAATGAAATATTAATCTGTCATGGAAAGGAATTAAGTACTGATGCATGCTACATCATAGATGAACCTTGAAAACAGTATCCTAAGTGAAAGAAGCCAGATACAAAGGACCACATATTGTACAATTCTATACTTATGAAATGTCCAGAATAGGAAAATCCATATAGATAGAAAACAAATCAGTCATTGCCAGAGACTAGTAATGAGTATGGATTTCTTTTCGGTGTGATAAAAATGTTTTTAAATTAGGTAGTTTTAATGATTGCACAACTCTGTGAATATGCCAAAAATCACTGAATTGTACACTTTAAAAGGGCAAGTTTTAAAATCTGTGAATCATATTTCAATAAAGCTGTTATCAAAAATATCCAGTTATTCTTTTCTGGCATAAAATACTCATTCTTATTTTCAAATCTGAGGAATTTATTTTTCTAGTTTCAGAACTCACAACTTCTTCACATTTCTGTCAAGTTATAGATAGAGTTCACTTGAAGTTCCATTGTTTAGAGAAGTTCTTGAATCTGTTCAAGTACAGAATGCCTTTGGTTTGGGTCCATGACTGTGTGGACTAAGAAATCTTTAAAGTAGGCAAATATCATACCATGCTCCCATATGCTAGACAAACTAGTACATGTTTGGCCTTGTGTTCCACCTGCTAAAATATAAATACTTGATAAAAATAACCTGATAGTTAAAGTTTGTATTTTGTAAAACCAAAACAAATCACTGAAGTGCTTTAAAATGTTGAAGGATTAATTCATACTGAATTTTGTAAGCCCCAATCGTCCAAATATACTTAAGGAAGAAAACAGTTTGATTCCTGGCAAAGGAACAATAGGATTATTAAAACACAGATGTGATGATTCATATCCCTTAAGCTTGGCTCCAGGAAGCTTTAAATGTTGTGACTTAATTCTAGCCTCTGCTTTGTGTATAGGGAGCAATTTCTGACATTATTTGTAGGTCAAGACTTAAACTTCCAGTTCAGACTGAAAGTTAACAGGATGTCCTGTTCTAGTGAAGGTAAGACAGAGACCTGGGTATCTCTGCCACTAACTAGTCCTGAGACCTTGAGGTCATACAACCATCTTAGCCTTAGCTTCTTTCTCCATAAAATGAAAATGATAGAGGATCTTTGGGAATTTTCAGTTTTAAAATCAAATTCTGACATCTGACTTTTGTTGACAGAGATGTTCAGAATGCTATTATCACAGCCAGCTAATCAACCCTTTGTTTTGATTTAATCTGATGTTACTGATTTTTGCAAATAGCTCTTTGGGATCTAGACTAAAACAAAACATTTTGTGGGGAGGTGGGGAAAGACACTCAAATTATCTCCTTGTTTCTAGTTTAGTGGTAATCCCACTTATTTTGAGGAATATTTTTTTCTGAAGTTATAAATTATATCGTTATTTAGAAAGGCCTAATAATGTGGTAAGCTTTGTGCAAGCATCATGTCGTTGCAAATTGATCTAACAGGTAGATGCCAAAATCGTAAAGATGTTAGAGCTATTTAATATTCATTTAGTTCCTATGCAGAGGTTTTGGCAACAGTAAATTGGAGACTTATGTATCATCTCCTCAGTGAGGTCTCTCTTCACACTGTCCACTCCAAGTCAGGTAGTCTTTACTTATAAAATAACATCCCACAGCCCCACACCCCGCCACCCACCCACCTCTGCACATTGCATTTTAGTTACCTGGAGAAAACTTATGCTGAAAGCCAGATTGGAACTTAAAATTGTTGGATTCAGAGTTCTGCACCAGGAAATTTCACAGGGAGAGCAGCTTCCAATCCCCAGCTCCCAGTACTACCCCACCCCCTTCTCTTCCTACTCTCAGCTACTTCCTGTACCATACTCTTCAGGGCATGGGGGCATACCTATGACACATGCACAGACAAGCTTCACCCCCATCCTCTGCTGCAAATAGCTATCCTTTAACCACTTTGGAACCTAGGATTGTGCATAAAATCTGCACCAACAGCTCTTCGGAATTTGAACTTGGGAAAGAGGTCTGTGCAACCACTGAAGTAGGCTGCAGACAGGGAATTCCAGAATATGTCTGCAGCAGGAGAAGAGGAGACCTAAGTGGTAGCCTCCCCTTGGCCTTGTAATGCCCATGAAGTGATCACTGATGAACATTAATCCCTTAAAGATTAAGTGGCAGGTGCAATAAGGGAAATACATTCATTGAGTTTTAGGGCCGAATAAAAATAAAATGAATAGGATAGGTAGGTTATTGGTAGACTTCTTTGCTTTTAGGATTCCTCATATTAAAGCACGTGGTAGTAACTGTTGCTTTCCTAGCACTTTAGAGAGTAAGTTTTCCTTTGTTTTAATAATTATTTGCTTTATATGACTTAGTTGTGTTCTTAACGACTGTATCTGAAGAGAGGAAACGTGGGAATCGCTAAGACCCCTTAATCTGTCACCATTCTGTGTGTCTGAAATCTCATGTTATTTATTCATTAATGTATTTCCTATAACATCTAGCACTGTCCCTTGCCCATAAGGGACACTTAAACTAATAAAAGCAGCCATTTATTATGCTTTTTTCCATGAGTGTATGGAGGCTCAAAGAGGTTAAGTTACAAGTGGCTGAACCAAAATTCTAACCCAGTCTGTTTGATTCCAAAATCCATGTTCTCCCAAGCATAACACTTGTCTACACTTGTCTGGAGATGAATAACTAGACATATTTAAGAATCTGTGAACACAGAGCCCTGCCAACATCCTGTGTCACAGCATTAAGTTAAAAAGGCAAACATACCTAAGTGGAACCCAGATTCTTTCAGCCATTTAGGAAATAAATGATTGGCATGAGCATGGATTGGAGGTCTAGCTACTACACAACTGAACACGAAAAGAAGATGATAAAGATTAAGTGATTTTGTTTTTGAAGATAATGTAGTTCTCTGATTAGAAAGTAATGCATGTTCACTGTAGAAAATTTGGGAACTGTGGACATTAATAATGTAAATTACAATAATTCACAATACCCTCACCAAAGGGACCTATTTGTTATATTCTTTCATATTCAATGCATGTAGTTGAACTGTTTTTCCTACCTTTTTCATTTCATATCACATCATAGCATTTTCTTACATTAAAAAAAATACTTTGCAAACAGTTTAAATGCTGCATAATTTCATGTCATATAGGTGTAATATTATTTAACTTTTACTCTATTTTTGATATTTAAATTATTTATTACATTTTAACAAATGTCTTTGTGTAAGGGATTTAACAATCTGACAGATATTAGAGAAAACCAGGTTCACTATTCCCAGGTCAGCTGTTACACATTTCTGAGTTTGAAATGTTTAAAAATTAGCTCAAGTACACCTTATTCCTTTTTTGTTTTTTTAAATCATAAACCAGGAGTCTTCTTTTACATTACAGCTAAATGAAGTAAGACAGTTTTTACTGGGTAAAACCAAGCTTCCAGAGAACATATTAACATTCACTATTAGTGTTACACCAACACTCTGATCTAAGACAATTTATAAGTCAGCCTCAGGCAGGTGACCTACAACTGGTCTGTAAAGACCCATGTATTATCTGAATTTGGCCCAGTCATTTTTAGATACACAAGTTAGTCTGGTATTTAGAACACAGATGTCAGGGCCACAATTTATAGTCCACAATACCCTACTACTAATTCAAATGTTAGTATCATTTCACTTTTACTTCTACCCTCCATTAACTCCTCTAAGTATTATAGTCTTATTTAGTAGTAAATTATTAATGAGAAAAGGAGACCAGTAGGAAGAAGAAAAAAGAATGCTTCCTTTTCAGAAAATACATTAAAGAAGGAATTATTAGCTGCCTCCTTTGTTCACATCTGTATTAAAACATGAATATAAACTCTTGAATATTTGTTATCCTAGGTATATATAAAATATATATATGATTTACAGCTGCATTTAAAAGCATCCCACTGTGCTGGCTGTGAAAGCACCAGAGCTGTTTATCTGCCATAAACTCATCTCCTCTGCATTCCCACCTCTCTGGCAGTCAGATTGGGACATCAAACATGCAAATCTGAGTTAGAAACAGGAACGGGCGGAGCCACGTTTGTTTGAATGTGGGGAGTGAGAGGAGGTAGTTTGTGGATTTTCGAGGTAGTGGGGTAAGAGATTTTGAGTGAGCTGATATCACTGTCATCTGGTCCTATGACAAGTTATTGAAGCTGGGAAATTAAGTGAAGTGACAAACATAAGGAGTAAAGCAAGTATTTATTAAACTGACCCTGAGTCTTCCATTTTACTTCCAGACTTCTGTTATCCATTAAATATCTACTGAGTATTCTGCTATATCTCAGGCACTCAGAGCAGGAAATAGGGCAGGAAATTTTTTTAAAAAACAGGATCTATGCTTGCAGTCCACATAGTTACGATAAATTCAGGGTTAAAATGAGTGTTATGAAAGGAAAGTACATTAACTGTGAAAGGCTGTAACAGCATGACCTGATCTAGTCGGGGGATCCAGGGCAAGCCTTGTGGAGATGAGATATTTAAGCTAAGATATAAAGGGTAAGTGCTAGACGAGTGAAAAGGGCTGGAGGAGTCCTCAAGCAGAGGGAACATGCCCGCGGCCCTGAGGAAGGATAGGGAGGGGGCCACTGGGCTTAGAGCTGGTGAGGGAGGGCGGGCAGGCACACGAAGAAAATGGAGCAGTGGACAGGAGCAAACAGGCAGAGAGCCTTCTGTGCCTTAGTAAGTAACCTGTTCTTTATTCTTCTGAAAGCAACATGAAACCTTGAATTTTTAAATAAGAAAATGGCTGAACTAAATGTTACCCACAAAGACCACTCTGACTGCTGGGAGTCTGGCTTGGCTGACGACAATACATGCAGGGAGAGCAGCTCAGGAAGCTATTGCAGAGACTCAGGTGACAAATGATGGTGCTTGGACTAAGATGCTGGCAAAAAGACTGAGAGAGTGGACAGATTTTGAAATACACTTAAGGGGTAAACTTGGTAAGTCGTAGTGATTAATTGGAGTGGATTGTGAGGGGAGCCTGTATTCCTTCAAATAAATCATCAATGCCTTCCTGTCCCAAGCCCCATATCGGGTGTTGGGTTTGCAACATCCTTGTTTTCATGAAGTTCATCATCTGGAATTATCAGAATGACTTTGAACTATGGAACATGACAATTGGTAAAGAATGGTAGAATCGCAAATTGGAAGTTTAATAGTACCATTTTGGACAATGTTCAGTTTAAGATGCCTATGAGGGATTCAACTGGAAATATCAAATAGGCAGTTGAACATAAAGATTGGGAACTGAGACATCCTTCTTGGAACATAATTGAGCATCTTTAAAGCCAAAAGAATTAAGAGATTGCCTTGGTATAGAACAAAAAGACAAGAGGGCCAAGGACTAAGTCTTGAATTATTCCTTTTATTATAGGTTAAACTGGAAGTTTTTCATTTGAATAATGCCAACCTCTAAGAGTATATGGATAGACTCATGGGACTTAATTTCCGTAACTTCAATTTGACCCCACCCAAGAAGTAGCCTGCAGCTTTTTGCTTCTTCACAACTTTTCCATTTACAAATGTTTTTCTCCTGTTTTACAAAAGAAATGTATATGGCTTGCCCACCCCAAATCCTACAATGTTTCTATTTATACTACTATTTACTATTTAGAACTATTTTACTATATTTAACAGTGTTATTTTACTGGTAGATATATAAAGGAACAATTTGAAATATTGTTGCTCAGGATGAGAAATTCAATGGCTCTAATGATTGAGTAATTAATCCTTTCTCTAAGTCATGTGGTTTCCCATCTTTGCTCTTAGTAAAATTGAAAAGCAATTGTCATTGGATAGATTATTAAAATAGTTTTAATGATAGATTACTGGATCTGAGGCACATTACTTGGAAGGAATTCAAAGTTCTCTTTCCTATCTACTTGTTTCTGTGAACAAGTTTTCTCAGCACTTAAGTTTGTAGAAATAAAAAATAGGAATTCTGAATTTTGTCTCATCCTACCCTTAATTCATATTCATCAGTGGAAACATGAGCTAATTTTTTAAAGTTTCACTCACTCCATTAAGAAATGAATCCCCAGTACAATTGCATTTTTACTGTCTTAGATTTATAGATTGAAATTCATAATATATTTAGGTTATTCTGGTTTCTTTTACTTTTTTATTAGAATATAGTTGATATACAACATTATATAGGTTTCAGATGTATAACATAGTGATTTGACAATCATGTACATTTGACAATTATATACATTATGACAAATATATATATATATACACACACACACAATTATATACATTTAGTAATGTATACACCACAGTAAGTGTAGTTAGCATCTGTTACTACCAAGCTATTACAAAATTATTGGCTATATTCCCTATGCTGTACTTCCATTCCTGTGACTAATTTATTTTATAATTTGAAGTTTGTACCTCTTAATCTCCTTCACTTATTTCACCCATCATCCCCACCCTACTCTGTTGTCTATGCTTTTGAGTCTATTTTTTGTTTGTTTCTTTTGGATTTTAGATTCCACATAAAAGTGAAATCATATGGTATTTTTCTTTCTCTGTCTGACTTATTGCATTTAGCATAATACCCTCTTGGCCCATCCATATTGTTGCAAATCGCAAGGTATCATTCTTTTTCATGGCTGAGTAATATCCCATTGTATATATGTGGCCATGTCTTCTTTATATGTTTGTCTATTGATGGACACTTAGGCTGCCTCCATATCTTGACTATTTTAAATAATGCTGCAATAAAAATAGGGTGCATATATCATTTTGAATTAGTGATTTTGTTTTCTTTGAGTAAATTCTCAAAAGTACAATTGCTGGATCATGTTGTAT